CTACCGATTCTCTAAATTGGCTGACGCCTGCTAATCTTCTCGCTACCCCCGTCACAGCAGGTCACTTCCGCGTGTCGACTGAACCGCCGCTCCGGTCGGCGGTGGTCACTGTCCGTCGAGGAAAGGTGGGGGGAAGGAAACCCGTCTCCTACGACTGGGAGGAACCACTGACCACATGTGGAAGTAAAGGTCTCGCCACATCCTGCGGATTCGCTGCGCATGCTCCGGCGGCATCTCAGATCCGCGACAATCTGGTCGGAAGGGCGACCAGCCGGGCCGGAAACGGGGTATGAAATGAGCTGACCTTCAGCAATGTCTTAAATCCAATCGTGTTATGTAATTTCAGGTTCTCATCTAACGAAAGGTGCATAAGCATGTAGGCATGTCTTGGACGAAATGTCGAGCTTTATACAATATTCATATATTAAAACGGTTATAACCATTCTTTAGGAAAGTCCGCCGCAAGCTCTCGACTGAGGCATTTATCAAACCAGTGAGTGCATATTTTTGGTGAAAAGCATTCAAAAACAGCTTCATCTAAAAATACCTTTACATTTACACTGAACAGTCCCCAACTGGCATCGAGTTGTACGATAAGAACCAGATAACAGGGTGCTGAGCTATTCGCTGAATAATGGACACATCGCGCAAGTCACATTAACATTCAAATGTCAATGGCCACACGTGATCCTTACATATCGCCGTACCTCACAGACGCATGGGCTTTCACAGCTTTCACCGCTTCAATAGCAACCAACGGAGGGCGGTGTATCCCAGCTAGGGCTGGCCCAGGGCGCGAACCCAGGGCTGGCCCAGATCGCGGACTCCGGACATCTCCCGTCACTAGGTACTGCCCACGTGTGCACGCGGAACAGTGACTCAGCGACCGCTGCCCCTGGATCACACCCTGCCCACCGGCGACCGACCTCGGCCAGTCGAGACTCGAGCGAGACACCACGCTGCGCTGGCTCAAGGTCCTACCGGGCGCCGTTCCGCCTCCTTCGCGAGACGCGGGGGCTTGTCGCGGATCAACGCGGCATCCCACCTTGATAGGGTGGGACAGGAATGTTCGATGACAAAATGATGCCTACCATGGTGGCCGAATCATTGAGCCCGGTTGGCCCAACGTGACGCAAGCGTAATTCTTTTCCCCACATTGTGTGCGAACTCGCGTCGCCGACACTAGGTATACACAATGCAGTTTACCGTCATATGCCGAGTCGAGGTCTCTTCCGAAGTCGGTAATTGCGATGCCTTTCCGGCAGTGAAAGCGTGATTTGTAACTTTAAAGGTGGACAGTAACGTCCTAATTGCAACAATAGCCCTAACCCGCCCTAATCGCTGCATGGCTCAGCAACTCAATAGTGGATAAAGTGTCAGGATGGGGACAGGGACCATTGGAATGAGAAAGCTCCTGAACACCGTCTTCAACGACCTGTCAGCCGTACACACCGGCCACTTAACACATATGTCACCTGACACAGGCACCCATACGGGGCACGGACACCCATCACCTGACCTGACTTCAGGGGCGTAGGCAGGGGGGGGCCACTGGGCCATGGCCCCCCCCCCCCTTGGGCGCCGAAGGCGCCCTTTGCGATTGGAGGGCGCCGAAGGCGCCCTCCAATCGCAAATGCAATTGTGATATAATCGAATCGAAAAACAATCGCGACTGGAGGGCGCCCTCCAATCGCGAATGTGTTTACAGGGAAAATACGGATGGAGGGCGCCCTCGGAGGACGCCCATTCCAAATACGCCCTCCAAATACGGTTGGAGGGCTCCCTCGGGCGCCCTCCAACCACATTTGTAGGCTGTAGCTCTCTAAGCGTAACGGTGGTCGCCTATGTAAGCCGCTGTCCTGTAAATAAGCGCCCTCTCACCCGAAGGCGCCCTCCTGTAGGTCGCCACCCTGCTACACATTGCCGCCCTTCTGCTGATCGGCGTCCTCATAATTATTGGCGCTCTCCTACCTATTGAGCCCTCATGTGAAATTTTGAAGGCCGCCTTTCTCCCTTTTGGCACCCTCTTGTTCAGTGCCGCCCTCCTACCTATTGGTTCCCTAGTCCTTCCTGTTGAATGTTAATCGGGGCCCTTCTCCTATTGGCGCCCTCGTGTAGATCGCCGCCCTCCTAACCACTGGCACCCTCCTGTTGATCACCGCCCTCCTATCCACTGGCACCTTCCTGTTGACCAGCGCCCTCCGCACAGACGCCCTCCTGTTCGTGTCATCCTCTTGAGCAAAGGCGCCCTCCTCACCATTGCCACCCCCATTTTAATCGTCACCCTTCCGCTCATTGGCGACTTCCAGTTGATGACCGCCCTCCCACCTATTGGCGACCTCTTGTTGATCGCCACCCTCCTATTGGTGCTCTCCTGTTCCTCGCCACCCTCTTACCTGGTGGCGCCCTCCTGTTGATTGTTGATCGGCGCCCTCCTACCTATTGGTGCCCTCCTGTTGATCGCTGCCCTTCTATCCATTGGCGCCCTCCTGCTGCTCGCCAACTTCCTACCTATCGGTGCCCTACTGTCGAAACTCGGGATGTTGATCGGGGCTCTTCTACCTATTAGTGCCCTCCTGTGGATCGCAGCCCTTCTACCTATTGGCAACATCCGTTGATCGCTGCCCTCCTATCATTTATTTACTCCTTTGGCATGTTTTTCAACTTAGTCGTTCTATTGCACATAGTTGATGTCTTGCCTGTGAAAACTGCCACAAATGAACGTGCATTCAGCACAATGAATGAAGTATCTATACCTACCAAAACTATCTACGCTCTACGATGCATAAAACACGTCTTTGGTCTTAACGGATTGATCCTACTTTACGTGCATCATGGCATCTATATGGATTACGATTAAGTATTGTCAACAGGTTCGGGCGCAACAGCAGGCATCTGAAGTTTCGGTGATTGAAACTGGTTATGTGGGTACACTGTATGCATCTGTGAGAAGGCTATGAAGGCTGGTCTGAGGTAATTTGGATGATGTTTACGCATCTCGCGCTCCGGTATCAATCCGATACGGTGATCTGGTGCGTAGATATGCCACCGCCAATAAACTTTTATACATCGACACCCATGAGCCAAGCTTTCTGTACAGTTTGTGTGGCAGCGGCCCGACCAAACCTTAGGTATTTTTTACACCTTCAAATTTGGTAAAAGAGCGAGAGGAGCTTTGAACAGTGATCGTATAAAAGGCGTGCCTAAAAAGCGGAGGAAAAGGTTGTTTTCAAAAATTTCGCGCGCCTTCGGCGCAGCATTTCAAGAACACTTGACCTTTTGTGACCTGGAGTATAATGAATACACACGATGCAAAATCAATGCAGCACGACCTATACGAGGTTACGCAAAAAAAAACTGGTGGCATGGTAAAAAAACGCCTCCCAACCCCCCAACCCCCACTGAGCGATTTTTTATCTCGCGACCGTATGGCGCCCTCCTTGGGTGAGGTGGCGCCCTCCAAACCCTTGGCCCCCCCCCTTCGCGATTTTCTAAATACGCCGCTGCCTGACTTCGATCACTGTTTCTTTACTGACCTGACCCGCAGGCTAAGGTTGTCGCACTGACCTGACCTGCAGGACGCCATCTCCACCAACGCGACCCAAAGGCCACAGGTTCCTTCTCACTTATTGACTCGCCCTGCAGGGCACTGCTACCGCCTTCTTTTGACCAGGCTTAACAAGTCACCATATCCCTTCCTGGTCTGACTCATAAATCACCGTGGCCGACCTGACCCACAGACCACTGCCCCAACTGACGTCTGACCTGACCCATACACCACAGCCCTACTGACGACCTGACCCAAAGATCCCCGCCCCTTCTGGCGTGGGGGCAGATCACCGCTCCAACTAACCTGACCCATGCAGGTGGCCCCACTGACCTGACCCGCAGGTGGCCACCGGCGCCGGCATGCAGCGGCCGCTGGCGGTGTCGAACAGCAGTGGCTCCGGACAGGTGACTGGGGTGCCGTCGGCTCCCTCCAGGTAGCGTCGGCAGCTGCTCGGGTCAGCCGTCCGACCAGGCTGACCGCGCGCCGCGGCCAGCACGGCCAGCAGCAGCAGCAGCCGCCGCGGCGTCATCGTCCCCGCAGCTCAACCAGCGTCCCCACCCGGCAGTCACAAACAACGGCGCACCAACTCCTCACAATGACTACGGACGGACCTCGCGACGTGGCCCACCCTCTCGGCGACTGCTCGACAACTGCCGCCGCCGCGCCGCCGGTCACCGCGCGGCGGCGATCACTCGTGACGTCACGGCCAGACCCGGTGACGACACACCAGGAGTGCTGACGTCACACCAGCGCTGGAGCGGGAGTTCCGACTTCCGAGGCACTCGGCACTCGCCTGGCACCGGAACCAGTGTGGAGAACGACGCGGAACCGCTTGTGTGACGTCGGAAGCTTGACTTGGCGATAAGTCTGTCTTGTGTTGAGGCAGGGAAGTTTTGGAAAGTCGGAACTGTCGCGCTGTTGTGGGGGGAGGGGGATGGAGAGAAGTCGGTTCCAGCGACGTAAAATATTGTTGGTGGATACGTTAAGTTAGGTGGTACGGCACAACTCTTCTTGGATGGAGCACCGAGCATGCTATACCAAAGCATTTGGGCTTCGAGCTGTCGCATGGACGCTTAGTTGCGAGTTCGGCCGTCTGAGAAGACTGAGATCAGTGACGACTGCTTGGGGATCATGAGACTAATGTCAGCCGGTAACCTGAGACGTCCGCCAATTTTCCTCTGGGATTACGGGCTCAATCTGTGGAATGTACCTACTATTTGGCAGCACTGGCTGCAGCAGCAGAAAACGGCAATTGGATGCAAACTAATTTCGCATTTCATACGCATACGCATTTCAGTCTTTCGTATATTGACGGTCCCAGGAATCATTATGTAGATTCGGATACAGCCTTGACCCCACCCTACCCCAGTTGCAGTGCGCTATCTAAGCTCAGACTTAAAGGAAATAGTTCACTTTTAACAAACCCAATGTTATCTGCCCAAAAGTGAAATGCGTAGACCAAAATGATTATTTTATTGTGTTTCAACTTTTTCCATTAACTGTTGAAGTCGTCTAATCAGATCGTTTGTGCTTATGAATCATGATTTACAGCCGGTGCAACGAATGACGACTGGCGGGGAAGACGAACAACGGCAAGTATTTGCCAGGAATACATGACGTTCTTCACCACAGGAGCTTTTGGACAGGTGGCGTCCAAACGTGCACAGTGCGCTAGTCCCTCAGTAAAGAGCTTTTTGCCGCTTAGCCAAAGAGCCCCGTGCGTCTGCTGGAACGGCGGCTTCCACTGAAGCGGCGTCGTCCACCAGTACTGAAGCGGCGGCGCCCACCACCGGAGCGGCGTCTGCCCGGCATCCGTCCGGTCCGGCGGCTGGTGCTGCCGGTCGCCAGCCGCTCGGCGATGCTGGTGACGCAGCCGTCGACCGACTCGGTGGCCCAGCAGTCGAGGAACGCGTCCACCGTGTCGGCGCCGTTGGCCTGGCACGTGCTCAGCACGGTCTGCTGGAGCGCCTTCTCTGAGTCGGTGGTGGTGGCGCTGGCGGTGATGGCCGTCTGCACGGCCGTCAGGTCTACCGTGTCGCCGCTGGCCAGGCCGGCCGCCTGCAGCGAGCAGTTGGCCGCCGCCTTGGCGCCCTCCTCCAGCGTCGGACACAGGCTGTCGGAGATACTCGAGCTGGAGAAGTCGCCACTGAAGATGCTCGTGAACATGCTGATACCGATTGACGCCTTCGCCTGCATCTTGCAGGTAAAGAAGGTGGACAGGTCGACCAGAGACTGGATGCCGAGTGGGCACTTGACCAGTGTCTTGGCGTTAAGGCAGAGAGTGGTGTTCTCGTCTTGGCGCTTGCAGTCGCTCTTCTGGCTGAGTTTCAGGCAGGTGAGGACGTAGACACGCTGCTGCTCCGCGGTCAGGGTGGTGTTCATGGCGGCGATGCAGGAGTCGGCGCTGGCCTTGAGCTGGTCGGTGAAGGTGGTGTTGCTGGACAGGGACTCGATCACCGTGTCCAGAGCCGCTGCGTCCACGCCCGTGTCGCTGGTAATGTTCAGCCTGTGGACACGCGCAGCGACCCGTCAGAGTCGGTCGAGCATGGACATTGAGCATACATTGAGCATTGAGCAATGAGTAATGAAATATATATTTAAACGTGATATTTGAATGAGAGCTGAATGAGAGCGGTCCAATCGCACCCAATATAAGCATCGGTACCTCATGTACGCTCCTCATGTGTTTGTCCTTGTAATGCATCCGAGTTTTTAGTTCGTCTCTTTTCAACGCAGCTCTGCCCGGTGTCCATAAGGTAATTAGCATTCCGAAAATTATCCAGGATGAAGATTATTGGCATGCATGCCGTGTATAAATTGTTCCCTCCCTTTGGTTACTCATATTGAACGCTATCATTCAACATTCAGAATGCTGTATGCGCGTCTGATGTCTGATCTCAGGACTGAGCAAACAGCCTCACTCACTGGGTGGCGATGCAGCTGAGCTTGTCGGTTTTGCCGCCGAGTCTGAAGGCGCTACTCCGCCGGCCCCACGCCGGGGAGCGGCCAAAGCGGCGACGCGGCATGCACGCGCTCACGGCGTCGGTGACGGTGGTGGGCAGCTCCGAGGTGAAGTTGGCCGGAACGCAGCTGTTCGAATCCAGGAAGCACAGCGACGTCACCGTCGGCTTACTGAACTCACGGAAGAACGCTGCCGCAGAATAGACCGGTTCAATGTCGGTTAAGAAGACGGGAGATTTGTGTATTTCATGTGACATCAGTATCCTCAGTGATCTGACTGAAAGGCTGCCAGCTGGCATCAGTTTCGGCCTGCGATTTGATTTGAGTGATTAAAGCCTATCAGAAAAAAAATAAAAAGAAAAAGAATTTTTGCAGATAAGTGCAACGGCACACCGCTAATTTTGGAAGCTTCGTCTTACGTTGGAAGTAGGTACTTACAGCCCTCATCTCACTGCTTGGACTGTATTTTTTTTTTCGACAAAACCGATGATAGGTAACTCGAAAACTATGCTATCTGTCACTCGAAAATCGTAACACCAAGATGCGTGAGGCTTCATATTTTAGATTGGGCTCATCATGGTATAAAATTTCCACACATTTTGCCCACAATACATGATAGTTTACATTTGCCCCAAAACAAACTTTGGTCTTTTCTTGCCAGCACTTTGTGTACTGTAGGGGAAGCGGGGGTAACACCGCCACTGTGGGAAACACCGCCACCCCATCTGGCGGCGAAAGTATGAAATGTGAAGTGTAAAAATCCGTTATTTCCTATTGACCGCACGCAGGTAAGCGTCTTCTGATTTGTGTTCCGGTGTTTCAGTGTAATCGAAGCTAAATGTGGGCATTTAAAGAAAAATGCACATTCTCTTATAAAAATTCGATGAGTTGGGAGCACTTTTGAATGTCTTTAAGTAGAGACTCATTTTGATTTACTTGATTACATCGAAAAATAACTGATCGGCTTTGTCCAGTAATATAAGTTTGCTTGAACCGTGTAGTACATTCTTACCGCTGGCGATTTTTGCTTGTGATCACTTATTGGGGAACACCGCCACCCCGTGGCGGTGTTACCCCAATTGAGGTTGCGGTGTTTCCTGTTTGTAGCGTGATAAGTGATGAAACTCCAAAGACACGCTTTATTTATGTTCGTAGATGTTCCTAAGTCGGGAATAAGCAACTTATTTGATTTTTTACTTTATATTTTTCATGCATCCCGACCAAGCACTTGCCAGCTGTATAAAACTGGCAAACAGCTGATGAGCCTATACCTATTTAGGTGTCCATTACCGATTATTTGCGAAAATTACCACTTACCGACAGGAAACTCATCGCACACGATCTCTGAACAATTAAAAGCTTTCGTAGGAATGGGTTGGGTTAACATCAACACCGGTGGCGGGGTTACCCACACAATTTGTAGGCAGCAAATATGCAAGGTATTTTTAAAAGTCGTGATACATGAAAACCTTTTAGGAGCATGCAAAATAAGTACCTAAAACACGTGAGAAAATGTTTAAATATTGTAACCAAAACAATAACTACCAAGAGACTTCACACATATTCTCTCATTTTGGCGAAAAGCTTAGGGGGGCGGTGTTACCCCCGCTTCCCCTATAAGTTATTTAATGATGGACCCAGTCGAAAGTGTCGAGCATGGCACATCTCTGTGCTATGAATTCCGATCGACTGAAAACATAGCCCTCGAGCTATTATCGCTTTCGTCTAAAAAAGAATACCTACCACGCAGTAAGATGAGGGCTGTTATAGGTACAGCCCACCGCTAAAGTAATGTAGGGTTTTACCAATCTCAACGGTTGGCTTTGACTGGCGATTGTTTAATGCGGAGTGATCGAAAAGAAGATGTCAGTAGCTAAAGTTGCAGCTGCAAGGGTGACTAGGTATACATATAAGCTACATTCAAAGTTTCACTGTAGTCTGGCTAATCGTTCCTAAGCTTCAGAAGCAGAACATACCCATGACTGAAACCTTACATTACTTCTGCTGTGGACTGTACCTATTATTCTGAAAACGCAGAAAGGAAATGGAAGCCCTGCTCGGGCGAATTCGGCGCTCACTTTCCACCATTGACGGCAATAACGGACAACGGTTCCTCCCATATGGCTATGTAGATATATGTATGTAGATAACTGAGTGGTCACTTCACTGGCCTAAAGAGTTTGGAGCGGTAATAGGCAGCCGGTGGCAGACACAACTAAAACCTGTCACCTTCTCGAAATTTTCCTAGAAGTTCAGTTCATTCCCGTCAAAATATTAAAACAAATAACTAAACAAGTCATAGAGCACTGACCTGTGGCCGTTCCCAGGAGGCCCAGAAGGGCCATCCAGGAGAGGAGCATCGCACTGCCGACCGGGGCTGCCATGGCGTCACTCTGCGACAGCTCCCGCCGGCACGCCGTTTTATCGTGGTACCTCGCATTGCCGACTCATTGGCGAACTGATGCCGAGCCACACCCGTGACGCACCACTCCTGCATCCCCACCCCTCCCACCGGCCCCTATACGAACAGCCCAGCAGAGGGTCAGTGTGATCCAACCACGTGAATGCCATGGAATGAGGGCTATTCACTGACTGCAGTATAAAACTGCTTCTACGTCTTAGCCATGTTCACGACGGGTCATCTTGGAAATGTACCAAACTTGACTAACTGTACCTATGTTACCAAATCACTTTTACAGTAAAGATCTTAGTTTCATGAATTTATTCCAATGTTTTAATCGAAAATAATATTTGATAATTCGATAAATGAGGCATACCCATAGGTAAGCTGCAGCTATGTGCCACGTAAGCTGAAAGCTAGGAGGCATAGGGAGGTAGGTAGGTAGGTATCGGGAGAGCGGGGTCAAATGTAACACGGGGCAATTGTAACAGTGTTAATAATTCATAAACTTACCAATAGAATGCGCTAATGTTAAGACCGAAAATGCGTAATTCTATACTGCCTTTCCCAACGGAGTTTGAAGCGAAAGTGCCGGGTATGTCGATGGCTGTGCACAGTAATGTGTTTTTGAGTGCATTTTATAAATTTTTATACCGTTATATTTGATTAGCTCATTCCCGCCATTGAAAAGATATCGACTTCAGACTTTGTGTAAGCGTTGGCAGGCTTGTTGTCCATAAATTGAAAGCATTAAATGCTGTACATGCAACATCTTTATGCGCCAGTTTCGTCTAAAATATGTCAAGGCGCGACGGGGACAATTGTAACATTTTTGCAGGGGTCAAATGTAACAGGTTATAGGTCAGTCGCCATTATGTCAAAGTCGTCAAATTTTTAAGGGAGATGAAACATTGCTAGAATTAAGAGAGCTGTAAGTTTTGTCGCAATCGGCAGCTTTTTACGCGATTTATTTGCGAAAAACCGAGGGAGAGGAGGTCCATCCAACCCCTGTATAAGTGCGAGGTTTTAAGCCTTTTTTTCCTGAGAAGAACCGTCTCTACCAAGTCTGGGAAGATGAACAAGTGTTCAATACTTTTGTTAAATCAAAGTTTTGGGAAAGATTGTGTTGCTGTAGCCTGTAAATTAGCATGTTACAATTGTCCCCGGGTGGTGTTACTTTTGACCCCGTATCTGGGGTGAATTGTAACAGATGAATTGACTTTTTCGGACAACAATTTTGACCCAAAAAATAAGTTATTTCGGAAATGTTTTAACAGCATTTTAAAGACAAAACCTCATAGTTTCTGAACATAAAAGAAAGAGTTTTATAACTGCAAACGTGTTTGCACCAGATGATAAAATGCAAAAAATGTTACAATTAACCCCTTTCTCCGCTACTATGAATTAACCATGAACCTAATTTGACCGAGTCCTACCAAATGTGAACAAATGTGTAGGTACCCATGGACAATGGTGAAAACGGCTATTTATTGTACTTATCATAGACATTATACATAGGTGGGTATACGAAACGACCTCGGTCCCGCGAAAAGGTTCAAACGTGGCGCTGTGTGCATGTGTTCCAGCCCATGCTAGTAATTAGCTTTCCCTTGCCAGTACCACAAACGGCAATTCCGACAAGATCTTTTTCGGATTTTAGATCGTTTTTCGTCCTTCGGATCTGGTTTCATTTTTGCAATCCAGTGCTCGCGATAGAACGCAATTCCAGAAGTGATATATCCGAATGCTCGCAGGCTAATGATGAACCTCTTCACACAACTAGTGAAGACATGAGGTACCTAATGGTCCGCGAATGTCCATATAGGTAGGTATTGGAAACTCAGCTAACCAATATTGCCTCTAAGTTCTCGAAGCTGATAATTATCCGATTTCGGACATCATTTAGCCGCTTTCGTACAGTTTCTTGTTTCTTTACGATTGAGGACTTAAGTGCGCTACCAGTACCTACTCAATTAGTGTGACCGTGTTCAACTGCAAGCAACATGACGGAAGCACACATTTTACCATCGTAAGCTTTGCATCAAAACCATATCAGCAGTGTGTACATACCTACTCAGGAACAAGTATTCTCGTTCGTTGTCGTGTGACTGGCTTATGCTAAATGATCGTCACCAAACATAATTGATAGGTGTTGACGATTTTTGTGACTTCAACAAATGCAAACAGCCGTCAGCACATCAGCACTTTTTACCTTTGTAGGTACCCTTTATGACTGAGGGGTTAACACGGCACATCAACGGTTCGCATGAGACACGGCACACAGTTATCATCTACATCAGTCACAGTCCGCATTTTTAATTTGCCAGCCTCATCTCCGGCGATGACTGGGCAAATGGTGATGGCCTGGCACCGGAACTGGTCCGGGCCAGGCCAGTAGCCCGGTCGGCGGCACCGGATATCCGCCCGCGCGGTGACGCGCGGCACGAACCAGCCCGTCACATACACACAATCATGGTGAACATGCAGCAAAAGCACCCAGCCGAAATCTGCGACATAAACAAATTGAACATGGCTGCCAGAATGAATGTTGACATGTAGGTAGGTATGTGTATGTTACGGGCAATATGCTGACTAACAACAAATCCGATACATCATTCGCAGCATATTTGACTATTTGAACCCCGGATAAATGGTGGGATGCATTAGCGTAGGACCATGGGTGCAGTGGGTGCAGCTGCATTCACAATACTTCTCCAGCTGGTACAGGCAATGTAGGTATTCTGCGCCCACAATTGTATCGAGCAAACACTTCCTTTCGCGTCAACGCTACTTCACACGCTGTTTGACGAGTTCAGGATATTTTGTCCTCTACCCATCCTTCGAGGCATTTGCTACTTTGATGGTCTTCAAAACATATAGGTATGTCAGATATGTATTTGTGCTGAGGTGGAAAAAAAGCGGAGCACATGTGAAAGCCCACATACTGACATACCCATGGCCCACTCTAGAAAGCTCTCTAGTCACTCTCTAGCCACTCTCGATATCTTGAAAACAGGCCAAGTCGGCCGTGTTTATTGCGTGAATTATTGACTATCAATAGTCCAAAATGCAACATTCTGAATCGGTACCCTTTCGACGTCGTACACCCCCTCGAAGATCGCAATGAGACTCCCTCCTGGAACCGTTTTCAATATCGGTGGCGAATGGCGATACATACCGTAAACGGGGGTGACTTTGCCATGTTTCCAACTTTAGACGCTGGTATTCCTCACACTTCTTAACTTGTTGGGATGACTCTATGTTCAAAACACGGATGAAGATTAGCTCTTTTGGTTTTGCTATTATTGTATTTATATCTTGCCTAATAATATAATTTTTTTTTAAAGAAAATGAGTCTTGGCAAAGTTAAACTAAAAAAGGGCGACTTTGCCACTATGTCAAAAAATGGTTTTTTAACGCTTGCAAATAATTTTTAAGTATTTTTGTTCCATTGTATGGGGGAGGCCAACCATCTTTAATAGGGTTGGGACCTATCTGCATGCTCTGTATGTTTTGGTAAAATAAAAAAAGCTCAGAATTTTTAATGATTTTATTTAAAATCACTTTGTTAAAAAAATGCCTAGTTAGTTCAGAAATTAATTATTTGTGGCTGAAAACAACTTGCTTCTGATTGGTCGGGCTAATCATGACGTCACATGTAGGTATATAACTGTCTGTATATTTGGCGCAGTTGAGACATACATTTTCTATGTATTTTCCTATGGTAAATCGGAGTGATTGGTCGTGTTTTCAGTGTCTCTTTATTTTGCGCTGGTATTGCGTGGCTAAGAAGTTTTATCAAGAATGGCATATACTAAAATGTTCCTTTAATAATGGAGCTTCAATATCTGTGAGTTTTATTGGCAAGCGAAAACTGATTTCGCTGTTATTTTATCTGGAAATTACTCATTTTTTTAGGTCAATATTTAAAATATTTTACGGGAACAAGTTGGCACTTTTCTTGATTTTTGCACTCAAATCGCGTGCGATTCAACTGTATTGGAACTTGCAAAGAAGCTTGGTGATTAATTAACTGTGTTGTTATGGCACTGTTTGCAAAGCATGGATAATGAAACTCTGCCAAAGACTTACCTACATAGCAATGCCTCAAGTAATACGCAGGAGGGACAGAATTCAGAGTCCGATCGAGAAGAATCGGTGCAAATGCTACGAAGACCAGGCAGCTCTGATACAATAGCTAGTCGTCTCACTACTCTCACTCCATTAGACCAGCTGATTCCTGACAGCACCGACTCGGATGCAAAGATGGAGCTCATCTTCCAAGCCAGAAACCAGTTCTTTGATGGAAGATGTGATGCTGCCTCTGTCTCTGCTTTGTTGGCCACTTTGGACGGGGCGGAGCTCCGCTCCTTGCGTGAGCGGTTATTCGCCTGTCATCCAGAAATAGTTCCTTCGTTTGCTGGCCGTTCCCTGATTAGGTGCAATACGGGGAGCTGTAATCAGGGAAGTAACTTTCCATATGAAAGGGGTGCAGGTGCACCCCCGTCCCCCATCCACTAGAAGTGCACCCCCATAGGCTAAGCGGCGCCCCACACGCCGCCCCACACGATTAGCTCTAGAGCAGATGGCGAGGGTGATTTCCCGGCTACATTCCATCTCGGCGTCGTGATGCTTGTGGGCTTGGAAAGCGTCCAGTCGTATGTAGGGTAGTGTAGGGGTAGGGTTGAGTTCAATAAGGTCCTTACATTTGAAAGGTTTGAACAACCCGCAATCAGCACAACATACCACAAGTTAAATAAAACACTACCAAACTCCGCCCAACTAATATTAATAAACATTACAGCCAAACTAATGGCCTAAATAAAAATATATCTCAAATCCTAACAGTTATCGCGGGTGATGGCGCCATGAGTTGCTATTATCCAAAACAGATGCAAATAAACATGTTTGTATGTCCTATGTATGTTTGTTTTAAAAACGTTGCAGCGGCGCTGGGAACTGCAGTCTTAGATCTGGGTATGTTTGGCATCTGCAACTCTTCATGTACACATTAACCCTATTTCGGACGGGGAGGCCTTTCAGGATTTTCTTGTACAATTGCCAAACGCCGCGAGACATTCAGCTCATATTTGGTGACTTTTCCTAAATGCTCATTGCGCACATCTCAGCAAAAAAAAAAAAAAAATGCCGGGTCAGGTCAGGTCAGGTAACCAGAGCGGGTTTGTTGACCCCACCTCAGAAAAGTTTGCAAACACGTCAGAGCTTGAGTTTTTCACGAAGTTATTTCCTCTCATCAAGTCTTCAAAACAGTACCTGCAGTATGTGTCGTTTGTATATCTCAGAATTTTTGATCTGTGACCTGAGGTTAGGTCAGAGTCGTGACCTTTACATTGCAAGCCTATGGAAAAGTATTGAAATGCGACCTGCACCTCGAGTAAACGAGTCAAAACCACCCA